TTGGTTATTGTTTCCTGACTCAGTAATTTGGTTTTCTAATTTTTTTTAAAAAAGATGTTATTTATTTATTTGAAAGAGTGGGAACACGAGTGGCAGGAAGGGTCAGAGAGAGAGGGAGAAGCAGACTCCCCGCTGAGCAGGGAGCGAGAGATGGAGCTCCATCCCAGGACCCTGAGATCATGACCTGAGTGGAGGGCAGACACTCAACTGATTGAGCCATGCAGGCAACCCTGGTTTTCTAATTTTTAAAATGTATTTCCTGGCTTGGTGATTTAATTGGGGTTGGAAAATGTTGATTTCTCATTTGTCACCCAGTCCATATTTCTTAGGTGGCTTTCTTGTGTTTTTTTTTAAGATTTTATTTATTTATTCATGAGAGACACACACAGAGAGAGGCAGAGAGAGAAGCAGGCTCAATGCAGGCAGTCTGATGCGGGACTCAATCCCGGATCCCCAGGATCAGGCCCTGGGCTGAAGGCAGCGCTAAACCACTGAGCCACCCGGGCTGCCCCGCTGTCTTGTGTTTTGGTGAGCTTTTCCTCATCTATGGAATATGAATCAAAAAAGTGAAGTAAAAGCCTAATTCTTTCCCCTTGAACACCAATTTTCAGAGCAAGAAGTTGATGTAATACTTTCAATAGTAGCAGTTTTATTGATTTATTTTTATATCACTTGACTCAGTGTTTTTCTTATTTAAATTCAGTATTTTACACTCAGTTCAGACATTTTCTTTGTAATATGAGCTCAAATTTTCTCATTTGGCCAGTGACAGTCCCTTAAGGGTGGGTCCCATGTCCTTTTTTGGTACATTTTTAAAAGTTTTTATTTAAATTCCAGTTAACATACAGTGTAATATTAGTTTCAGGTGTACAATATAGTGATTCGATGCTTCCATACGACACCTGGCACTCATCACAACAAATGCACTCCTTAATCACCTATACAACCTAACCCCCCCCCCACCTCCCCTCTGGTAACCATCAGTTTGTATTAAGAACCTGTTTCTTGGTTTTCCTTTCTCTCTCTTTTTCCCCCTTTGCTCGTTTATTTTGTTTCTTAAATTCCACATATGAGTGAAGTCTTTCTCTGACTGACCTATTTTGCTTAGCATAATACTCTTTAGCTTTATCCATGTCATTGCAAATGGCAAGATTTCATTTTTTTTAAAGATTTTTATTTATTCATGAGAGACACAGAGAGAGAGGCAGAGGGAGAAGCAGGCTCCATGCAGGGAGCCCGATGTGGGACTTGATCCTAGGACTCCAGGATCATGCCGTGGGCTGAAGGCAGACTCTCAACCACTGAGCCTCCGAGGTGTCCCCGATTTCATTCTTTTTATAGCTGAATAATATTCCATTGTGTGTGTGTATGAAACCTCTTTATCCATTCATCATTCAATGGGTAATTAGGCTGTTTCCATAGTTTCGCTATTGTAGACAATGCTACTGTAAATAAACATTGGGGTGCATGTATCCTTTTGAATTAGTATTTTTGTATTCTTTGGGTAAATGCCTAGTAATGCAGCTACTAGATCATAGGGTAGTTCTATTTTTAACTTTTTGAGGAACCTCCAAACTGTTTTTCAGAGTGGGTGCACCAGTTTGTCTTTCCACCAACAGTGCAAGAGGATTCCCCTTTCTCCATATCCTCACCAACACCTGTTCTTTCTTGTGTTGTTGAGTGTAGCCACCCAAGAAATGAATAATCCAATTAAAATATGGGCAGAAGACACAAATAGACATTTTTCCAAAGAAGATCTACAGATGGCCAACAGATACATGAAAAGATGTTCAATATCACTCATCAGGGAAATGCAAATGAAAACCACAATGAGATATCACCTCACACCTATTGGAATGGCTAAACTCCAATGTCCTTTTGACATTCCTCCATGTGTCTTCTAACACTTACTTAGATTCTGCTACAAGATTCCTAGGCTCACCATGTTTCCCTGCCCCAGTCCTGGAAACAGCCATTTCCAAGGAACCCTGGTTCCTTTTAATGGAAAATGGTATTTAGAAACCAAGATCTGGGGCAGCCCGGGTGGCTCAGCAGTTTAGCGCCACCTTCAGCCCAGGGCGTGATCCTGAAGACCTGGGATGGAGTCCCACGTCAGGCTCCCTGCATGGGGCCTGCTTCTCCCTCTGCCTATGTCTCTGCCTCTCTCTCTGTGTCTCCCATGAATAAACAAAATCTTTAAAAAACAAAACAAAAAAACCCCAAGATCTGGATGTTGAATGTTAGAAGCAAAATCTAAAATACTGTATTCTGTCTGTGAGCTGTAAAACATTCGTACAGTGACCAGCTGTCCTGATTTACTCTGAACCTGGGACTTTTCAGTGTTAAAACCAGAAGCATCCTATGCAAACTGGTAGAATAAGTAGGTGACCCTAAATTGGTCACATTGTTAATAGTAATGATTGAGAAAGAACAATGGAAATTGGGGTTGTGATATGTATACTGGTAGTAGCTAAAGTAGCTGTAAAATTACCAGGAGATGTAAGGGTTTGTACTAAATCTCTTTCAACTGTAAAATATCTAGGTCTAGAGAAGTGGATCACAAACTTCACTGCACATTATTATCGCCTGGAGAGCAATTTAAAGCATGGATCCCTGGGCCCAGGACATTCCAATGTATTTTGTTTAGGGAGGGGCTCAGGCGTCAGTATGTATGTATGTATTTATTTATTTACTTAAAGATTTTATTATTCAAGAGAGAATGGCAGAGACATAGGTGGAGAGAGAAGCAACGCCTCAGAAATTCAGATTTAATTTATCTTGGGTGTGGCCCTAGCAGTATTATTTTAAAAACTCCCTAGATGACTCTGATGTGCAGGTAAGGCTGAAACCCATGGTCCAGGGTTTTTGTCTCCAAGCCTAGTGTTTGACTTGATGAGTGAAAGTGCACATCAAATTACAGATAAAAAAAACTAGCTAGATATGTAATAGGTCAAATAGCTTGCTTTTTTTGCTTCTTCCTTGTCTAGACCCACCAAGGGTCTCTAAGCACTGGTTTGCAGTCCTTTGAAAAGATTTTCATCCCTTGAAAGCATTCTCTTTCCTGTTCTTTCAGCAGTTATTTTGGTGGATATGGTAGAGTGGGGCTTGATATGCCCGTCAGTTGCTAGTAATTCTAGCAAAGCCTTAAAGTAACCTTTATACATGGCAAGAGAAAAGTGAGCTCATTTTAACATTAAAGTGGGACAGTTGTTTTAAGGATTTCTCCTCAGCCTGCTTTTTACAGGTTTTCCAGAACTAGCTTCTCATTAGGCTCAACCTACAGTTGCTGCACCTTTAAGTGCAATTTTGCCGTTTCCCTGAGAGTAGGTTTGGAGTTTTACCTATGGCAGTGGTTCCCAGTCTTAGCTGCACAATGGACTTGTTTGGGAGCTTTTAAAAAAGCTCCTAAAAAAAAAAGCTCCTGGGGGCATCTGGGTGGCTCAGTTAAGCGTCTGCCTTCGGCTCAGAAGTCCCAGTTGGGCTCCCTGCTCAGCAGGCAGCCTGCTTCTCCCTCTCCTCCCCACTCATACTCTCTCTCAAATAAAAAAAAGTCTTTAAAATTAAATTAAATTTAAAAAACTCTTGGTTCCTGGGGCTTGGTCCCTAAACCCAGATATTCTGACTTAATTGATCTGGGGTGTGGTTTTAAAAGATCACCCAAGGGGTAGCCCTGGTGGCGCAGCGGTTTAGCGCCGCCTACAGCCCGGGGTGTGATCCTGGAGACCCCGGGATTGAATCCCACATCTGGCTTCCTGCATGGAGCCTGCTTCTCCCTCTGCCTGTGTCTCTGCCTCTCTCTCGCTCTCTCTGAATGAACAAATAAAAATAAATCTTTAAAAAAATAAATAAAAAATAAAATAAAAGATCACCCAAGGTGATTGTAATGTGTAGTTGGGGTTATGATCCTTCAATTAGGGCTGTGGTTCACAAGCTTGTCTGCATAATAAAATTCCCCAGGGATCTTTTAAATAAGCTTCCAAAATTCAGGCCACACCCTCCACCAATTAAATAATCACAACCTCTGGGGTGGGACATAGGCGATGGTAATTTTGAAGTTTCCACAGTGATTCCAATGTGCAGCCACAGTGTTAGGTTATTTGATTGTGGGGGTTGGAAGGGAGAAGAGAATGATTGTCATTTGCTGAGATGTAAGTCTTCCAATCCTTCACCTTCAAAATTACATTGCCAATTTATAAATTACAGGGTCACCATTGTCATTTTTCTAAGAGATGTATTTCAAAATGACATGGCCATAAAATGCAGTCATGAACCAATTGAAGCTCCCTCAGAGATTACCAATTAATTCAAGCGCAAAAGGACAATTGAAATGGAATATAATTATGTCTCAGATTTAAAAATTTTCCATCAGTTGATTTGGTTCTATCATTATATGTATTTCCACATTATATTTCCCATTGTTCCTTCTCAAAGGAGATTAAGTGGGATTGCAATGCTGACATCTAACCCAGATTCATATAGTGGAGGAACATGTCAATATCAAGTCCATTCCTAGCTTGTTAGGGATCCTCAGAGTACACGGAGGGAGAGGGGTCATTGCTCTGAGGATCTAAAAGAAAGGAATTTATTTATTTATTTAAATATTTTATTTATTTATTCATGAGAGACAGAGAGAGGCAGAGAGACACAGGCAGAGGGAGAGAGAGAAGTAGGCTCCCTGTGGAGAGCCTAATGTGGAACTCGATCCCAGGACCCCAGGATCACAACCTGAGTCAAAGGCAGACGCTCAAACACCGAGCCACCCAGGTGCCCCTAAAAAAGGAATTTAGATATGTAAAAGTCTTGGAATTTACTGCTTGCATTTTCCTGATCACCTGTATTTATAACCAATCCAAGGAATACCTAAGAAGAAAGGGCTTTATTCTATATATTTAGCTATTTAATAGTTTTCCTCCTCCAACTAGGAGGAAGAATGATAAACTAGACCATAAGATTTGAAAGCATAAGGGCTATATCCTATTTACTGTTTTATCTTTGTTTAGCACCCAGTCCAGTGTCTGGAATGTGCAGGTGCTCAGAGAGGCAATATAGCCTACTGGCCAAGAGGACTGGCTTTGAAATCTGTCTGACCTGGCCTTGAATCCTGGCTCCATCACTTACATGCTGTGTGACCTTGGGTGAGTTAACCTCTCCAGCCCTCTGTTCCCTGCCCCACTCCCTGGAAAAGAAGGGGGTAATAGTAGTACTTAGATGATGGGATTGTTGTGACCCATTCAGCAAAACATTATTTGTAAAGCACCTTGCAAATTACCTGGTACATAGTTTGTGTGCACGAAGGTGGGAGTTAATAATCCAATTATTTGTTGAAGGAATAAATGGATGTCATAGCCTACTTTCCCTTCCCTCTCTTGAAAGTAACAAGCAAAAATAACCTAATCAATTTGGTTTCTGTAAGACTTCAATACTTAATTTCAGGCAAATAAAACCAACCACACATTGGAAAAAGTCTCTTCCATGTTGGTGTTTCTCAGCATTTATGTTATAGTCAAATATTGCAACTTCTAGTAAAAAGTTTAAATACAGTTTGGAGAAAAAAATGAAGCACAGAAATAGATAAGGCCATTCCTCTCATTTTGTCACCCTCAAAATATTGGTTGCTAAAATAACCCACTTGTCAAATCCTTTGTACTGCTGTGAGAAGTGCTAATGTAAGGCATGTTTTCTGAAAATAACCGTGATGAGGTGTCATGAATTAAGGGCTTTGGTACAGAAATGATAAAGTTCCCTTCTGGATACAATAGCTCAGGATCATAAATTGCACATAACCTCTACTGGCTTACCCTTTCCACCTCCTAAAAGGAAACTTGTTTCTAGGGGTGGGTTTTTTTTAAACTAAACATACTATAAATGCTGCATAGGATCCTAGATTGGATCCTGAACAGAAAAAGGACGTTAGTGGAAAAACTGGTGAAGTCTAAATAAAGCCTGTAGTTTAGTAAATAGTATTGTACTATATAGTTAGTGTCATAGTTTTGATCAATGTACAGAGTTATATTGGGTGTTAATGTTGGAAACTGAGGGAAGTGTATATGGGAGTTTTATGTTTACAGTTCTTTTGCACATCTAAAATTATTTCAAAACAGTTTTAAAAAACGAACCCTTAACATAGTCTTTTAAAAACTAAATATCCTGATTGAAAGCTAATTCTAATAAAACCAAGTGTGTTCAGGCCAGGGCTTCAGGGATAGAATAGTGAGTGGTCACCTAGATACTCAGTTATGTGCATAAGCATTACCTGTGACAAGGTGACAAGGGACAGGAGTTAGCATGTAGCAATTATTTTACAATAAGGTGTTTCTGGTAGCCTATCAAAAATAGTTCCTTTCTTTCCAGTATAAGTTAGCCTGGTTCAAAACACAGCAGACTGACCTAAAAGAGGTCCAAATATAAATGCTTCAGTCAAAGACATATAGGGTGTCAGAATGGATTAAAAAAAAAAGACCTATCTACATGTTGCCTACAAGAGACTCATTTTACACCTAAAAATACTGCAGAGTTGAAATGAGGGTATGGAGAAATATTTATCATGCAAATGGATGTCAAAAGAAAGCAGGAGTAGCAATACTTATATTGGACAAACTAGACTTTTTTTGAAGATTTATTTATTTACTTGAGAGTGCGGAGTGGAGGGAAAGGCAGAGGGAAAGAATCTCAAGCAGACTCCCTGCTGAGTATAGAGCCAGACATGGGCTCAGTCTCACGTACCTGAGATCACAACCTGAGCTCAAACCAAGAGTCAGACACTCAACTGACTGAGCCACCCAGGTGCCCCTGGACAAACTAGACTTTATTTTTTTTCTCTCTCTTTTTTTAAGATTTATTTATTTATTTATTCAGATAGATAGATAGATATAGAGAGAGGCAGAGACACAGGAGGAGGGAGAAGCAGGCTCCATGCCGGGAGCCCGACACAGGACTCGATCCCGGGACCCCAGGATTGTGCCCTGAGCCAAAGGCAGGCACCAAACTGCTGAGCCACCCAGGGATCCCCCCAAACTAGACTTTAAAACAAAGGTAACAAGAGGTAAAGGGGGGCACAATATAATAAAGGGGACAATCCAACAAGAAGATGTAACAGTTATAAGTAGTTATGCACCCAACATGGGAGCACTCAAATACACGAAACAATTATTAATAGACATAAACTAATTGATTATAATACAATAATAGGAGGGGACTTTAACACCCCCACTTATATCAGTGGACAGCTCATCTAAACAGAAAATCAACAAGGAAACAATGGCTTTGAATGACACCCTGGACCAGATGGACTTAACAGATAAAATCAGAATATTCCATCCTATGGGACACCTGGGTGACTCAGTGGTTGAGCATCTGCCTTTGGCTCAGGGTGTGATCCTGGAGTCCCGGGACTGCGTCCCACATTGGGCTCCCTGCATGGAGCCTGCTTCTCCCTCTTGCCTATGTCTCTTCTTCTCTCTCCCTGTGTCTCTCATGAGTAAATAAATAAAATCTTTAAAAGAAAAAAACATTCCATCCTAAAACGGCAGAATACACATTCTCTTCAAGTGTATGTGGGACATTTTCCAGAACACATCACATATTAGGTCACAAATCAGGCCTCAACAAATATAAAAAGATTGAACTCATACTGTGCACCTTTTCTGACCACAATGCTATGAAACTAGAAGTCAACCATAAGAAAACATTTTGAAAGACTACAAATACATGGAGGTTAAACAACATGCTACTAAAAATGAAGGGATGAACCAAGAAATCAAAGATTAAAAAAAACATGGAAACAAGTAAGAATGAAAATACAACCATTCAAAACCTTTGAGATGCAGCAAATATGGTCCTAAGAGGGAAGTATATGGCATTACAGGCCTATCTTAAGAAGCAAGAAAAATCTCAAACAACTTAACCTTACACCTAAAGGAGCTAGAAAAAGAACAACAAATAAAGCCTAAAGCTAGCAGAAGGAAGAAAATAATAAAGATTAGAACAGAAATAAATGATATAAAACTAAAAAAAAAAAACCAATAAAACAGATCAATGAAACCAGGAGCTGGTTCTTTGAAACAATTAATAAAAGTGATAAACCACTAGCCAGACTTATCAAAAAAAGAGAAAAGACTTGAATAAATAAAATCAGAAATGAGAGAGAAATAACAACCAACATCACAGAAATACAATTATAAGAGAATATATGAAAAACTATATGCCAACAAATTAGACAACCTGGGAGAAATGGATAGATTCCTAGAAACAAACTACCAAAACTGCAACTGAAGAAATAGAAAACTTGAACAGACTGATAACCTGGAAAGAAATTGAATCAGTAGTCAAAAATCTCTCAACAAACAAAAGTCCAGGGCCAGGGATGACTGGGTGGCTCAGTGGTTTAGCGCCTCCATTCAGCTCGGAGTGTGATCTGGGGTCCTGGGATGGAGTCCCACATCGGGCTCCCTGCATGGAGCCTGCTTCTCTCTCTGCCTATGTCTTTGCCTCTCTCTGTGTCTCTCATGAATAAATAAATAAAATCTTTTAAAAAAAAAGTCCAGGGCCAAATGGCTTCACAGGTGAATTCTACTGAACATTTAAAGAAGAGTTAATACCTATTCCTCTCAAACTATTCCAAGAAGTAGAAAAGGAAGGAAAACTTCAGACTCATTCTATGAGGCCAGCATTACCCTGATATCAAAACCAGATAAAGACTCCACTGACAAAAGAGAACTACAGGCCAGTATCCCTGAGGAACATGGATGCAGATATTCTCAATAAAATATCAGCAAACTGAATCCACCCATACATTAAAAGAATCCTTTACCATGATCAGGTGAGATTTATTCCTCGGTTGCAAGAGTGGTTCAGTATTTGCAAATCAGTCATAGTGATATACCGCATTAAGAAAAGAAAGGATAGGGGATCCCTAGGTGGCTCAGCAGTTTAGCGCCTGCCTTTGACCCAGGGCCTGATCCTGGAGTCCCGGGATCGAGTCCCACATTGGGCTCCCTGCATGGAGCCTGCTTCTCCCTCTGTTTGTGTCTCTGTCTTTCAGGAATAAATAAATAAAATCTTTTAAAAAAAGAACCATATGATCATTTCAATAGATGCAGAAAGAGCATTTGACAAGGTACAGCGTCCATTTGTGATAAAAACTCTCAACAAAGGTATAGAGGGAACATACCTCAGTGTAATAAAGGTCATATATAAAAAACTCACAGCTATTATCCTCCTCACTAGGGAAAAACTGAGAGGTTTTCCTCTACAGGCAGGAACAAGACAGGATGTCCACTCTCACCACTGCTATTTAACATAGTACTGGAAGTCCTGGCCACAGCAGTTAGACAACAAAAAGAAATAAAAAGCACCCTAAATCATCAAGAAGTAGTTAAACTTTCACTATTGGCAGATGACATTATACTCTATATAGAAAACCCTAAAGAACACCAAAAAATGTGCTAAAACTGATACATGCTTTTAGTAAAGTTGCAGGATACAAAGTTAACATACAGAAATCTGTTGAATTTCTTTTTTTAAAAAAGTAGGCTCCACATATAAGTGAGATCATATAATTGTCTTTCTCTGATTGACTTATTTCACTTAGCATAATATCCTCTAGTTCACTCATATGTGGAATTTAAGAAACAAAACAGAGGATCATAGGGAAAGAGAGGGAAAAAATGATGAAATCAGAGGAGACCAACTGTAAGAGACTCTTAATTATAAGAAATAGAGGGTTGCTGAAGGGGAAGTAGGTGAGGGGACCGGGTAACTGGATGATGAACATTAAGGAGGGCACATGATGTAATGAGCACTGGGTATTATAATAAGACTGATGAATCACTAATCTCTACCTCTGAAACCAATAATACATTATATGTTAATAATTGAATTTAAATAATATTTTTAAAAAAGTAGGCTTCATGTCCAATGCAGGGCTTGAACTCACAACTCTGAGATCAAGACGTGAGATCAAGAGTGAGATGCTCTACCAACTAAGCCACCCAGGTGCCCCTGTGGCATTTCTATACACCAATAATGAAGCAGTAGAAAGAGAAATCAAGGAATCAATCCCATTTTTACAATTGTATCAAAAACAATGAAATATCTAGGAATAAACCTAACCAAGGAGGTGAATGACTTGTAATCTTAGAATTGTGAAACACTGATGAAGGAAATTGAAGATGACACAAAGAAATGAAAAACCTTCCATGTTCACGGATCAGAAGAACAAATATTGCTAAAATGCCTATACTATCCAAAGCAATCTACACATTAATGTGATCCCTATCAAAATGCCAACAGTATTTTTCATAGAGCTAGAACAAATATTCCTAAAATTTGTATGGAATCACAGAAGACCCTGAATATTCAGCTAAAGCCACCTTGAGAAAGAAAAGCAAAGGAGGAAGCATCACAATTCCGGACTTCAAACTATATTACAAAGCTGTAGTTACTGAAACAGTATGGTACTGTCACAAAAATGGACACATAGGTCAATGGAACAGAATAGAAAACCTGGAAATGAACTCACAACTATATGGTCAATTAATCTTTGGCAAAGCAGGAAGGAATATCCAATGGGAAGAAGTCTTTTCAACAAATAGTGTTGGGAACTGGACTACTTTCTTACACCATACACAAAAATAAACCCAAAATGGATGAAAGACCTAAATGTGAAACAGGAAACCCATCAAAATCCTAGAGAATACAGGCAGTAACCTCTTTGACATTGGCCATCGGAGCTTCTTTCTAAATATATCTCTAGAGGCAAGGGAAACAAAAGCAAAAATAAACTGTTAAGAGAAAGGGGAATCCTCTTGTACTGCTGTTGGGAATGCAAACTGATGCAGCCACTGTGCAAAACAGTATGGAGGGTCCTCAAAAAGTTAAAAATAGAACTACCCTATGACCCAGCAATTGCACTACTAGGTATTTACCCAAAGGATACAAAAATACTAATTCAAAAGATACATGCTCCCCAATGTTTATAGCAGTGTTGTGTACAATAGCCAAACTATGGAAACAGCCAGTGTCCGTTGACTGATGAATGGATAAAGAGGTGGTATGAATATATATAAAATGGATTATTACTTAGCCCAAAAAAGAATGAAATTTTGCCATTTGCAGTGACAAATATAGTATTAGAGAGTATTATGCTAAGCGAAGTAGGTCAGAGAAAGACAAATATCATATAATTTCACTCATGTGGAATTTAAGAAACAAATGAGCAAAGGGAAGAGAAACAAACCAAGAAAGACTCTCTCTCTTTTTAAAGATTTTGTTTATTTGAGAGAGCGAGAGAGAGAGAGAGAGAGAGAGAGAGCACAAGGTGGAGGGGACAGGGGCAGAGGGAGAGAGAGAAGCAGACTCCCTGTTGAGCAGGGAGCCTGACGCAGGGCTTGATCCTAGGACCAGGAGATCATGAACTGAGCCGAAGGCAGACACTTAACCAAGTAAACCCAGGTGCCCCAAGAAATATACTTTTTTAAAAAAGATTTTATTTATTTATTCATGAGGGACAGAGAGAGAGGCAGAGACACAGACAGAGGGAAAAGCAGGTTCCTTGCAGGGAGCCTGATGTGGGACTCGATTCCCAGACTGGGATCACATCCTGAGTCAAAGGCAGATGCTTAACTGCTGAGCCCCCCAGGAGTCCCAAGAAATAGACTCTTAAGTATAGAGAACAAACTAATGGTTTCCAGAGGGGAGGTGGGTGGGAGAATGAGTGAAGTAGGTGATAAGGATTAAGGAGTACACTTGAGATGCACACAGGGCAATTTGTGGACATGTTAAGTTACTATATTGTACATCTGAAATTAACACTATGCTTACTGGAATTAAAAACTTAAAAAATAAAAACGTTAGAAAAAGGAGGTCCAAATATATATGTTGTCTTAAACTCCCATTTTAGAGTTTGGTCAGCTAGGTATTGGGAAGGAGTTTCTCACTGTAGTGCTAAGCCTGAAATGGTAATTGTGCCCTGAACATGAGAGGAGTGGGAAGAGTAAGGGTCCAGCCCATTTTTAAAAAAGATTTTATTTATGAGAGAGAGAGAGAGACAGGCTCCATGCAGGGAACCCGACGTGGGACTCGATCCCGGGTCTCCAGGATCACACCCCAAGCTGAAGGTGGCGCTAAACCTCTGAGCCACTGGGGCTGCCCTGGGTCCAGCCCATTTTAAAGCACCAGCTCCCTTAGCATTCCGTTCCTTTTCTCTTCCCTGGATCCAAAGAACTGTGGCATTAACTCCTGTATCAGCCAAAAGGCAGGTGTTTCTGTAACCTAGTTTGACCACCATGACAATTTTAAAAAGTTTTGGTGGAGGGGGAGTGGAATTTAAAAGAACTATGACACTCTTCGTTCTCTTACGTTCTTGAGGGATGAACCCTTCTGTGTATGTTTGTCATAGTTGCAATCAGCATGTGTATGTGCTGTTTTCACTTAACATTATTTTACATTCTGCTTCCCACTTGTGCTGTGTACATAATTGTCATCTTTAATGGCTAGGTAACGTTCCATTGTATTGAATAGCATGATAGTTCTTAGGACTGCGCTCATTTTTCTAAGCAGATATAAAAGGCTTGCCGTCTCTTAGCACCAGAGGTCTATTTTAGTTCCTGGAAGTGGAGACTAGCATGAGCGTGGGATTGCGTGGGATTCGTGAGTCATCATCACACAGCACAGTTTGAGCGCTTTGTTAACATCACTCTGCCCACCAGTCGACAATAGAGCCTCTGGGTTCCCTGGACCTGAGCCGTGCACTTCATAGGCATAGCGATGAAGAGCCTTGACTCCCACGACCCCCAGCTGATACTATTTCTGTGCCAACAGCAAGAAGTTCTTGCTGCTTTCTCACTCACCTGGGATAACTCCACCTGTGTGTCTCATAGAGATTGATATGAGAGAAAAGGCAGGGAGAGTGGGAGGATGGATTATTCTAGCTAAAGAAGTAAGGTACAGGTAAGGGTGCCATGGCTACAGTTCATCTCGGCACACCTGTGAAAATGAAGTAGGATGTGGGGATGGTTTCCAGTCCTGGCAAGCTAGGCAATAGCTCTCATTCTCTACCCCCTTCCTCTCAGAAATCTGTTTTGGTCATCCAGTAAAGGGTTAAAGGAGGTTAGAGACAAAGCAGGGAGTCCAGGTGTGACCTCTGCCCCTCAGGTGGCTAATGGCATTTTATGCTTGAGAATGCTAATTGGTGAGGTTCTCCTGAGAAGAGTTCTATTCAGTGCATTTGGTTAAGTCTCACTAGTAGCAACTGCCTTGAAAATGAGTGATTCTGATTGGTTACTGGGAGGGAAGAGATATCCAGAACACATGGCCCAAGCACCAAACACTCAGATATTCAAGGGAGTTACAGCTATGTTAGCTACTATTGGTTTCCATGCTCTGATCCTAATTGATGACTGTTCTTTCTTAACTCTTACTGTGTACTCACTATATGATCTGTGTTCTGCAGATCACACTGGATACCAGTACTGCTGACAGGGTACTCCTGGCATGTAGAAACAACATACAAATGAAGAGTGGTGAGTAGATGTCAGGAGTTGAAAATCATTGCAAACAGAGGGACCCCCGCCACCACCTCTGCATATTGAATTCTCTAGTTAGAAAACCCAGGCTTGTCTTATAATACAAACAGACAAGTACTCAGAGCCATATGGGGTTTGTTGAATGATGGACCAAGGCCTTTTGCTTACACAGAGATTCTGACAAGGAGCTAAGCCTTAAAAGTCCTGGAGGAGGGAGGCCAAGACCTTGACAATGAAAGGAACGAAACTTCCAAGGCAACCACTTGCTTGAAAGAAAATTTGGGGCAGCCCCCGTGGCTCAGCAGTTTAGCGCCACCTTCAGGTGTGATCCTGGAGACTGGGGATCGAGTCCCCCGTCGGGCTCCCTGCATGGGGCCTGCTTCTCCCTCTGCCTGTGTCTCTGCCTCTCTCTCTGTCTCTGTGTCTCTCATGAATAGATAAATAAAATCTTAAAAAAAAAAAAAGAAAATTTGCCCTCTAGGGTTGAGGGACTATCCCTATTCTAGGTCTTGGGCTGCCATGTTGAGACATGGATTCATAAGACCTCTTTGGCAGATTTAGGATTTTCAAAGGCAAGGATATGGGAGGCAGTGATTAGCAGTGGTTGTAGTTACCCTAAATTCTCAATGCTATTTTTACATTAGAATCCAAGGCATCTCTCTTTGGGTTGTCCTTTACAGAAAAGAAGATCTCTTTCCCAGAAGGGAAGTGTAGCTCTCTAATGATCTAAGCTTCTCCCCTAATCATAATAATAGTAGCTAACATTTAATGAGCTACTTATTATGTGCCAGGCACGATGCTAAGCATTTTTATATGGATTTTCCCCTTTGATCCTGACAACTCTGTGAGGTAGGTACTCTTATTTCTGTCTTCACTGGGGGAAATTGCCAGAGTTACCCAGCAATTTGGGATTTGAGATTTGGAAAGTACAGTAACAGACTGCAGCAACAAAATTAAGATTCACTCAAAAAATAAATAGAGGTATGCAGGCTGTATTTGGGGGATTTTCTTTAAATAACTTTGTGATTGATGGAGTCTATGTACGAAAATTTGGTTAACATTCAGGAACACATACACTGTACAGAGGGAAGTGTGCCAATATACTGAAATGCAGTTTTATCAAGTTGCTTCAGCTTAAATTCTCCAACTTGCCCACATTTAATGGTACCACTCCCACCCCTTTTTAACCACACTTCCCTCTTGGCTGAGAAAGTATGCCTGCCTCATAAACATACATGCCATAAAGACAAATGTGGATGATACAGTTTTCTTAAGAACACTAGTTTGTTCAATTACATTTCCTGTTTGATAAAACTCTTCTTCAGTAGAGAGAGTTAGTGAATCCCTGGGTGAGAATGATTGTTAACAGAATTCTCCAGTGACATTTATTAGGCAATTTGGAGGATAGTAGGTGGGTCAGCAGTGGCCAGGGAAGACCCACAGAGGAAGCAGTATTTTTGAACAGGAAAAATAGAGTACTGGCTCAGGCACACGGGAGATAGGGATCTTAAGAGCAGCTCTGAAAAAAAAAAAAGCAGGTCTGTCAGTGATCAGCTGTGCAATCTTGGGCAAGTCACTTAACCTCATCTGTTAGGCAACTGAGGTTGGACTAGAGACTCTGTAAGGTAACTTCCAGCTCCATGATTAATAGTCTGAGCCTCAATCAGAATCCTATCAAAGATCCACAAGGGGGGGCACCTGGTTGGGTGTCTGCCTTTAGCTCAGGTTATGATCTCAGCGTCCTGGGATCTAGCCCTGGGTTGTCATCAGGCTCCCTGTTCAGCAGGGAGTCTGCTTGTCCATTTCCCTCTGCATCTCTCCACCCCCCCTCCTGATCTCTTTCTCTCTCTCTGTGTCTCTCATGAATAAATAAATCTTTAATCGAGATTAAAGCCGAAGGCAGTCGCCCAACCACTGAGCCACCCAGGCATCCCTCATATAAATAAAATGTTTAAAAAAAATATCCACAAGGTGCCTCGGGTGGGTTTTTTGGAGATAAGGCCATGTGTAATGCGTAATAGCAAGTGATGTAGACTTAGACAGTGTTCAACCCTCTAGATGGGTTTATAAGACTGATGCAAGGTTTTTATCTTCCAGAAACAATTATGGGCTAGTTGGCTTATCTTGCCAGGTGAAGCTGTATAAGGTAGAATTTAAGAGCACGAGTTATGGGGGTGCCTGGGTGGCTCAGTCCATTAGGCATCTGCCTTTTGCTTGGGTCATGATGCCAGGGTTCTGGAATCGAGTCCCACCTCAGGTTCCTTGCTAAGGGAGGGAGTCTGCTTCTCCCTCTGCCCCTCCCCCCTGCTCGTGCTCTCTCTTTCTTTCTCTCAAATAAATAAAATCTTAAAAAAAAAAAAGAGCTGGAGTTATGGAGTTGGACCTTAGTCCGAAAACCAGTTCTGCCACTTCCTAATGGGTGCCCTGGGCCAAATGATTTAACCTGTCAGTTTCTGCTTCTATAAGATGATGATAATAGTATTGACCTCATAGACTTGTGAAGGTGAAAGGCAATAGTATGTAAAGCACTTAGCCCAGCACCTGGCAAAATAGAAAGTCAGTCATCTGTATCTGCTACAACTAGTGGTGTGCTTATTTCTATCAGTGTAATTCTCCTGACTTGGCCATGGCTTCACTTCAGCACTTTTCCTGGATGTAGCTTTTCCTTTCAGCATGGAGTTTGAGAACAGCATAAACAGATCTTCCTGGCCTAATACCAGCTCTAGAGTCAGATCTGGATTCAAATCCCTGCTCTGCTTCTTACAGGGTGTGGGACCTTGGGGCAAGTTGTTGAACTCATCTGTTCCTTAGTTCCCTCACTTGGAAAATGCAGGCAGGGATACTGCCTACCCTTAAGGGTTGTTGTGAATAAGATAATGAATGTGAGGAACTGAGGCCTGTGCCTCAGGCTTGACATCCAGAAGGCACTCAAATGGTGGCTGTGGTACTGATGATGCAAGTAATAGTTGTAGTAATAGTAAATACTACCAATACTCCTCTATTCTTCTTTGCCAAGGTCATTTTCCTTCTCAAATGGATGCCACCTAACTTTTCTTGAGCCCCTCGACATGTATAAGCTTCATTTGACGGCTAGAATGTAGATGTATAGGGACAATGGGAGTCCTCAGGATTGTGATGTTAGAGTAGGTGGACTTGTAGGGGGACTTTAGAGGTGTTAGCAAATAGAAGTAAAAAACTGAGAAGTCCTGATGGTCTTAAAGATGAACCCATTTACTGAGGGAGGGATATGAGATGGTTTTGTTTTTTTTTTTTTTTTTGGACTTCCCTCCATGTTTCTCTTTAGTACTCTGTTGTTAAAAGTCTAATAAGAGAAAGAAAACAGCCAGTCACTGCAAGTGAAGCTAAGCACCGGGTTTCCTGTCCTTCCCAGATCACTCCCATTTGGGGTGGTGTTGGTCCCTACACCCAAGGGGGTGTAGACTGCACCCCTCCAGGCACCTGCCCTCTGCCTTGGCCTCGTGCTTTCTCTCAGTCTTGCTCTCCTTCCTCTCCCCTTTAAGTAATACCACAGGATCCAAAGGCTTCTTCGCAAGGGTTTTCCAGTAACATCTCTGTGTCCCAGGTCTCCGTTTTTTGTTTTTTGTTTTTTTTTGCCCTCGATTCTGAGGTTATAGAAATGAAAAATGGATTTCAATTCTGGACAGAGATTTAGGGGTAGTTTCTGGCATCTAGAAAAACACTTCCTCTGCTCTTCTACCAGATTTCTTCCATTCAGCTCTCATCCTTGCCCCTTATCCACAGAGCAGTGCCTCTCTCCTCCTCCTCCGTGTCCCTGGCCAATTCTGGGCCCCTCTGTACAGGTATAACAACCCAAATGTCTGGGGCAGCCTGAAGGGCTAGATCCCTTGGAGAGCAGAGGTCATGTAATATTAACAGTTGGGGTTCTAAGGAATGTTGAGGAGTGGCCATTAACAATGGGACTTCAAGGTCTCGCTTTTTTTTTTTCTTTTAATGCCTTTATTGCATTGGGAGAGATTGTATATGCTTATTGTAAAAACTAAGAATTTCCAAAAAAACAAAAATCCAAAGAAAGTCACCTAGGCCTTTTACTTCTCGAAATCACATAGTATCTCACCTTTAGAGAAAAACCACTGCTGATGTTTTGGTGATTTCTCTTTGGATTATTCTGTGCATGTATATGCATCACGCTGAACATGCTAGACTCTTATCTACCATTTTTTCTCACAAAAGATCAGGCCGTGAAAAACTTTCCACATCAGTAAATGTAAGTCAGCATTATCTCTTTTCATGTCTGCATAGTATTCTGTTGTATGAATGCACCATAATTTATTTCGCCATACCCCATTATTAGTCCTTCAGCTTTTTTCCAACTTGTAGCTGTTGTATACAATATTGGGTTTCCACATTTTAAAAGTTCTTCATTCACATACCCACACCCACACCCACCCACCCACACACACACACATTGAGAGCGGGAGACAGACACCCAAACTACTCACCATGAAGGTTGTACCAATTAGAAGGTTGTACTTCCACCACTGGAAATCATAACCTTTAAGATAATCTGATAGCCGTGCTAACAAAGATTTTGTGTCAGCCAGTGCCGGAGTGCTGGGGCATCATACTGAGCTACCAGATGGTAGTCCCCAAGCACTCTCCCTGTACTTCATCCGCTGCTTCTAACCACCAACCATAGCATGAGAAAAGAGTTTCAGACTTACAATAGGAATACCCTTTTATAAATTGTGAGAGAAGGGCTGTGTATCTTTTCTGACTAATCACTGGTCCAGCATTACCTTCAAAAAGATCTGGGATGAACCCTGGGTGTTATGCTATATGTTGGCAAATTGAACACCAATAAAAAATAAATTTATATATAAAAAAAAAGATCATCATCATCAGCGTTTGGAGCTGGGGGCTGCGAGTCATCACTTTGATCATAGCAAAGCTCAGTAGTATTCTGAGTTCTGTTTCCCCCAGAACATTCACCTTCCTCTATAGGTTCATCTAAAGCAAATGTTACTGATATATTCTTTTTAGGCCTTATTCTTTTTTTTAAGATTTATTTATTTATGATCCCGGGACTCCAGGATTGCGCCCTGGGCCAAAGGCAGGTGCTAAACCGCTGAGCCACCCAGGGATCCCCAAGGCCTTATTCTTAAACCTTCTTTCTGGACAGCAAGATGGAGGGGAAAAACAAAAAGTCAGTTGGTGCTTTGACAGTTCAGGCAGGGATTGGTCCCTGGGGACAGTAACATTTAAAGAGCCACTTACCTGTAGAATTGGCTTTAGGGGCCTAGCTTCCACTGAGCATTGTCCTAGGTGCTGCCTTTTTTCTTTTTTTTTTTTTTTTTTTTTTGGTGCTGTCTTTTTTCTTTGGACATTCCCATCCTGGTAGCAAAGCTGAGGAAGAGAGGAAAGAAGCAGCAATAGTGAAAATAGGCACACGTGAGATTCTTTAATTGAATGTAGCTATTACCCCATCCCTGCCATATGCTTTTGGACATTGAAAAGGACAACAGAGCAAGAGGACATCTAGGTCTTTTATTCCTCAAAATCTTAACTCCTGTTTTATTTTTTTTCCTATTTCTTCTTCTTTTCCATATTTGTGTTCTCGTTCATCTTTCCTTATTATTAGGGGGATCAGAGAACTGAAAGAGAATGTAGGGTAGCTTTAAGACTTTTGGCCGCAGAATGTTTTCAATAAGCTTCTTAAGGGGCTCATGTTCCTTTTCTCCTCTGTGTGGCAAACCAGGCAACAGAAGCCCTGTTTTGGAGAAGCTCTAATACTGATAGGTTGGCTTTGCCTTTATACAATTCACCTCACTAACAGGGCCACTCAAGTTGTGCTGAAGGGAGAGTATAGTTAACAATGTTGGAATGTTCGTGGTCATCGTCTTAGCCTCATTTGGACCAACTGATCTTGAGACACTTGCTCAGCACTGCGCAGAATCGATACGCCACCCAGACCTCCCTGCATATGCTGAAGATTGACTCCTGCATCTCTTACCAGCACACCTAACAGAGGCAGCTCAGTACCTGTCTGATGAGCATCTTTCCCCAGAGCCTCTGGTGCCCTTGGAGGTTGGAATGCTTGAGGTGAGTGGCTGTTGGCAAGTACACAGCTCTTCATATTTATCCCCAATGGCAGCTAATAGCCAGCGCAGCCCTTCAATTATGGGCTGATGGTTCCTTCTTTGGAGGTTTTTGATGGCTGAACAGGGTTCCTATGACAAAAAGGGAAGAATAGCTTCTTTTTTTTTAAGATTTTACCTATTTATTCATGAGAGAGAGACAGAGAGAGAGAGACAGAGAGAGAGGCAGAGACACAGACACGGGCAGAGGGAGAAGCAGGCTCCATGCAGGGAGCCCAACATGGGACTTGATCCTGGGTCTCCAGGATCACACCCTGGACTGAAGGCAGTGCTAAGCCACTGAGCCACCCGGGCTGGCCAGAAGAATAGCTTCTAACCCAAGGGACTGGGACCCCTGAGTCCCAAAGTCCCAATTATTCTCAGCCAAGAGCAGAGGTACACTTAAACTCTGCTATGCCCAGAGAGGCTCTAAGACTTCCTAGGAGACACTCAGCACTCATTCCTGAGAAGGTACATGAAAGACAGAAGTTAAGGTCCTTTAATAAAGTGATTGTGGTGTAATGTCCTGGATGTGTGACCTTGGGCAAGTCACCCATAGTCTCTGAGCCGTAGCTTTCTTATCCATAAAATGAAGATATGAGACTTCTAACTGTACAGAGCTATTTTGAAGGCCTAATAAGAAAGAAGATGTGAAAGTGTTATAAAAATGTTTTATTTATTTGTCAGTGTTGAGTCAGAAATCATCACTGTAGATGTTGCCGTGGGGGAGAGGCTTTGCCTGAGACTCAGCAGATGGGGCTGATTATGGAATAGGCCAAGGGATGCATCAGCTGAGCTCGAGAGGGTGAGGGTGAGGCAGGGAAGGAAGGGGGGTTGATACTTACCACTTGGCACAGGGACTTGTTCTCATTCACTAGCCTTTTTAGGAGTAGATACTCAATAGTATCACAAGGTAGGAGGGCGTCCTTCTTGTTTGTTTGCCAGGCTAGAGCAAGGCATTGGAGAGAGGGAGGGAAGAGAAGAGGAAGAGTGTAACAGAAATAGAGACCAAGGGTAAGCAAAGAAGGGAAAGAGGAGAAGAACCAGTTCTAGTACAACTACTACATATCCAGGAACTAGCTTTAAAAACATAAGCAATGGGATGAGGCAAAGATTCTTTTGGCTAACTCTCAGTGGAGGAAAGAAGAGCACAGATAAATTGAATTCAAGATAATCCCAAGGCCTTGTTTCTCATTTCCTCTACACTATGCCGCCAAACCTGAATTAGAATTGCTAACCGAGGGTTTAGCTAAGCCTGGGTGGCTCAGTTGGTTAAGCATCTGCCTTCAGTCTTGGGTCCTGATCCCAGCCCAAGCCCTGTGTGTTGGGCTTCCTGCTCAGTGGCAAGTCTGCTTCTCCTTCTCCCCCTGCTTGTGCTCTCTCTCTCTCTCTGTTAAATAAATAAACTCTTTTTTAAAAAAAGAAAGAATTGCTAACCAGGATATGAACAGATTTGAAGGTTTTACACACTCTCTGAACCTCTGTTCATGCAGGAGTTGGAAGTACTAATGAGGAATGAAAAAAAAGCAAAAAGGGAGTAGGGGAAGGGTGAGGGTTGATGGGCCACCAGAACTATCACCAGAACTATTACCCTGGAATGAATGCTAGTTACATAACTCTGGGGTAGTTGGCCAAAGGAGGAGTCCATTAACATCAATTATACAAAATAGGGGTTGTTTTCTGCCACTTTTTCAGGATCAGAGACTGAAGGCAGAAAAGAAGGAAATTCAGGAAGGCAGTTTTCAGGAAGAGTTGAGGGAAGGGGGTTAAAGATCCAGATATTACTCTCCATTTCCCTTTGATGCTTGCCTTCAGAATTACCTTTCTTATGTATGTATGTATGTATTTATTCATGAGAGACACGGAGAGAGAGGCAGTGTCATAGGCAGAGGGAGAAGAAGGCTCCCTGTGGGGACCTTGATACGGGACTTGATCCCAGGACCCTAAAGGCAGACGCTCAAACACTGAGCCACCCAGGTGCTCCCAGAATTACCTTCCTACAGTTAGGTAACATATTCTCCCATGACAGTATGTGGTAGAAAGTGGCTTTTGAAAACTTACCCCAGAGGACTGGCCCCCTTTCCCTTACTGAGCTGAAGGGAAGAGGAGGTCAAGCAGGGTGTGACAAAGGGACCACCCTTCCTCTGCCTACTTCTCAGGGTACATGAGAAGGGGAAATTGGGCACAAAAGCAAGTCTGACAATAGGATAGGTTTCCCCACCACCCTTGTATCAGACAGTAGATGTGTCAAGATGATCTTCACTTCCTGCATGCATCCTAAGTCACTGGAATCCAGGACAAAAATAAGTCCGTGTGCCTGCGCCTAGTAGTTTGGCCAGATTTTTCGGCCCTTCATGTCTCCGTTCAGGTCATAGATGGAAACTTCATACTCATCCAGCAGTTTAGTCAATTCAGATTTGACACAATTGTCCATCCTACTGGGAAGTACTACACAGAGAAGAAAGGAGAAGCAACCACAAAGCAGAGAAATAGAATTAGACATCATAATTTGTTAAACAGAGGATCCCAGGGTGGCTCAGCTGTTTAGCGCCTGCCTTAGGCCCCAGGGCCTGATCCTGGAGACCTGGGATCGAGTCCCTCATTGGGCTCCCTGCATGGAGCCTGCTTCTCTCTCTGCCTGTGTCTCTGTCTCTGTCTCTCTCTCTCTGTCTTTCATGAATGAATAAATAAATAAAATCTTTAAAAAAGAAAAAAAATTTGCTAAACAATAACTGTAGATTAAACAATAGTTAGATGTAAGAATTTGTTAAACAATTTGTTTAACATTTCAAGGCTTGACCAGAGCTTGCCCTGAGGAAACCAAATGAGGCATCTTGCCATCATGCTCATAGTCACAGATTCATCTTCCTAAACCAGCACTTTGTCATTGCTACCTTTTCCTGGCTTAGTAACCTTCAGTGAGTGCCCACTGCTCCCAGGATAGAATACTGATGCCTTTGCCTTCTAACCTGCCAGACCTGACTGGTGTCTACAGTGCTTCTGGTACACACCCAGTTTCTTCCTCCCTCTGCTCCTTGGCTCATGATCCTCCCACTCCACAAGAATGCCATGCTCTGTATTGCCCTAGGCCTTCACAAGATGCTATTACCACTGCTTAGGACACTCTTCCACCACTCTTTGGTGGAAACTTTTGGCTTTTAAAAAATAGATCAATTTAGATCTTGTTTCCACTAGAAAGCTTACCACTCACAGCACATATAAGTGCTATGAAATCTATGATTTTGTTATCTGAGCCAGAAACTACATCAGGACAGGAACCCTTTCAGTTTTATTCATCATGATATTCATGATGCTGAGCACAGAAAGTGGTACATAGCTGGCACAACAGATGAATATTTGTTGAATGAATTCTGATGAATGAATGAATGAATGAACAAGAGGCCCTTCTCTCCCACCGATTCTTCAAGGCCCAGCTCAAATAGCAATTTCTTTAGGAAGCCTCTCTGACCTGTCCGGTTCTCATTTCTCTCTTTTTGAGCATGTGGTTATTGAACTGGGTCTTTTTTTTTTTTTACACTTTATTTTTTTTATTTTTTTTTAATAAATTAATTTTTATTGGTGTTCAATTTACCAACATACAGAATAACACCCAGTGCTCATCCCGTCAAGTGTCCCCCTCCGTGCCTGTCACCCATTCACCCCCACCCCCCGCCCTCCTCCCCTTCCACCACCCCTAGTTCATTTCCCAGAGTTAGAAGTCTTTATGTTCTGTCTCCCTTTCTGATATTTCTCACACATTTCTTCTCCCTTCCCTTATATTCCCCTTCACTATTATTCATATTCCCCAAATGAATGAGAACATACACTGTTTGTCCTTCTCCGATTGACTTACTATTGAACTGGGTCTTAACCTTATTTTGTGCGTGTCCTGTCTTCCCAACTAAAATATAAGTTGTCAGGGAGGGGCTCTGCATTACCTTACATATAGTAGGTGTTCAACAAACGTTTGTGGTACATATTATTGTAGACGAAAATATGAAGTCCTCTTCCTCATATCTCCTCCAAGAAACCATTAGAAACTCAGATACATTTACTGTTTCAAGGCTATGGCCAGAGCATAGAATCCCATAGGGCATTCCATACCTCTTTCAGCTCCCATAGAAATGCAGTTCAAAATGACAGTCTTTTTTTAAAATTTTTATTTATTTATGATAGTCACACACACACACAGAGAGAGAGAGAGAGAGAGAGAGAGAGAGAGGCAGAGACATAGGCAGAGGGAGAAGCAGGCTCCATGCACCAGGAGCCCGACGTGGGATTCGATCCCTGGTCTCCAGGATCGCACCCTGGGCCAAAGGCAGGTGCTAAACCGCTGCGCCACCCAGGGATCCCCAAAATGACAGTCTTATACACATTTTAGTCTTTTGAACTAACAGTCCTGGCCTGGGTCTCTCCCCATATAAGGAGTAAAATGATTTTATAGATTCTCTACACTCATACCTGGGAGTTTTAACACCAGAATCAGTAGCTTATTATTTATATATAGTCTTAGATCTACCTATGACATTTTCCATGGGATTGCCAGAATGAGTCATTTAGCTGAGAAGTTAGTAAGAAACTTGAAAGCTTTACATGTATGTATGTGTGTGTGTGTATATATGCATATGTGTGTATCTTATTACACTCTAATGTGATCTTATAACTTGTGTTTTCATGTTACTCAGTGATCTTAATTATAGTTTTCAGATTGCATAGTTTTCAGTCACAACTTTGGTGTGATATTTGCTATGTCTATTAGACGACTTAAAAATAGTGAGCGAATAGGTTGAAACTCTAAAGGTAATTTTTAAATCTTGTTTCCTGCATCCAGGCAAGCTTTATATCATCTTTTCCCTGTCAGAGCAAAACATTTTCCCTAGTTTTTTTCTTTCTACTTGAAACTTCAGCAGTTCTTTCAATAGTGCAATCTAATGTTGGTGAACCATAGAAGCCATGAGAAGTTGTTTCCTGATTATTTACATTTCTTTTATTTCTGCTATTAATTTATAAACTCCCTGAGGACAGGTACTGAGTCCAATTTATCTCTCTGTCCCTAGCAGAGTGTTTCATAAAGCACAGTCTGGGGACTCTCTGCTTCAGAGGTACAAGGAGGTGATTGTTAAGTTCTACTTTATACCAAATGAATAAGAACCTCTATGTTTGGGACCCAAGCATTCATATGTTTAACAAACCCCTATAATTAAGAAAATCCCCAGTTAATTTTCCTGCACTTTAAAGCTTGAGACCCATTGCCTTAGAGAGCAGTGAAACTCAAGCCTATTGTGTCTCAGCATCATCTGGTGCACTTGTTAAGATTTTGAATCTGTGGGGCACCCAGACCATAGTATCTGAACCCCCAGGCACCTGCGTCAGTAGGCGTGAAATCTCCTCAGCTGATTTTGAGTTTTGGCTCTCAGTACTCATGATGCTCCTGGATCATTGTGGAGCATTTAAAACCTATGATGCTAGGCCTCATTCTTTGAAGGTTTGATGCCATACATCTGGGGTGGGACTTAAGCATTTTTTTTAAAGCTCTCCAGGTAACTGAAATGTATAGCCAGATTTGAGAAGCACTGCTCTAAATGCCCTGCTTGTGTTCATGCTTGGGTTTCTTGCCCCCATGTGACCATGCCAGACAAAACAGTTAGAGTGAATGGTGTCATTGATAATAATGGTTTATTTTAAATGTCCCAAAATATTTTATAGTTGGCATCTTCAAGTGTTCACACAAATTACAACTTGTAGATTGGAATTTCCTTCCTAGGCTATTATCTGTTCTTGGTAATCATAAACATTTGCAAGAGCAGGGGAGGCAAGCTATTGCATTTTGGGTACAGAGCAACCTGCATGGATAAAGATGGCCTGAGACATTCTTTAGAAAGTGACATCAAGGGTGCCTGGGTAGCTAAGTCAGTTAAGTAATTGCCTTCGGCTCAGATCATGATCCCAGGGTCTTGGGATCAAGTCCCACATCAGACTGCCTGCTCAGCAGGGAGTCGGCTTCTCCCTCTGCCCTTCCCCCTGCTCATGATCTCTCTCTCTCTCTAAGTAAATAAATTAATTTTTTTAAAAAAGAATGTGATATCAGTGGCACTTTGCTTCTTGACCACTAAAAACTGGAATATTACTCAGCCATTAGAAACGACAAATACCCACCATTTGCTTCAACATGGATGGAACTGGAGGGTATTATGCTGAGTGAAATGAGTCAATCAGAGAAGGACAAACATTATATGTTCTCATTCATTTGGGGAATATAAATAATAGTGAAAGGGAATAGAAGGGAAGGGAGAAGAAATGGGTAGGAAATATCAGAAAGGGAGACAGAACATAAAGACTCCTAACTCTGGGAAACGAACTAGGGGTGGTGGAAGGGGAGGAGGGCGGGGGGTGGGGGTGAATGTGTGATGGGCACTGAGGGGGGCACTTGACGGGATGAGCACTGGGTGTTATTCTGTATGTTGGCAAATTGAACACCAATAAAAAATAAATTTATTATTAAAAAATAAAATAAAAGTGAAAAGCTAAAAAAGACAAAAACTATTCTTTGAATAAAGTCACAATTATAAACCTATTGGTTTATGAATCAGCTCCAAGTTAGTCACCAAGCACAAGGCAAGTTATACAGTAACACATTAAATAGAGTACAGGTTCTTTCCTCTAGGAATTAGAATGAAAAGCAGGCATTGTTCTCACAGACAGAATAGCACATGGCTAATTGCAAATGAATGCTTCCCAAAACTGGCTGGCCATCAGAAACACCTGGGGAGTTTTTAAAAGCTAGATTCCCAGGCCCCACCAGAGTGGATGAGAATCTAGGGGAGGGGCTGAGTTGGGGCTCTAATAATTATCCTCACTTTTATCAGTAATCTTGTGATTTATCTCGGCTCCTTGATTTTTCCTGCTCCTCCTTACCTTTTTACCGTTTCTGCCTATCAGAGAACTGAGAGAGGCAGGGAGTCAAGTTTGCTGCCTATAAAGGGAAATGACAGGGGATGGAGCACTTGTAAAACGGCAGTATGTTGTCAGAGGAGAATGGGGAAGAACATTCATCCCACAAATATTTATTGAGTACCTGCCTGAGGGTACTAGAAGTACAGAGACTAAAGATACAGAGCTGAAAAGATCTATTACTTCTCAAGGGGCTCACAGTCTAGGGGATGGACTTGCTATTGTACAGTGATGTTGTGATAAGTGCAAGGTAGAGGGAGGCAGAGAATTGAGTGGGAGCTGACGAAGGAGGTGCTGGGCATTAGGGGTGGCCCGGGTAGAGCTGGGGTCAAGCTTAGGCTTGTGTCTCAGCGCATTTGATTAAGCAATTAGGTAATGAAGTGGATGAAATGCTAGGCAGTGAGACAGCATGTACAGAGTGTGGGCATGTGAACCAGAATGGTATGATCACAGAGAAATGGCAAATAGTTAGTTTTGGCTTTAATCGGGGCATATGCAGAGAGCATGGGCAAAGGAAGCTGGAGGCGAAGTCAAGGACCAAATTGTGGAGGACCTTGTATGCTGCTAAGGAATTTAAATTTTGTTTTGATGATAATGAGGAGACTTTGGTGTTGAGCAGGGAAGCTCCATGATCAGATTTTTGGATTAGATCCTTCAGACAACTGTGTGGATTGAATACAGGATGAGGTGGTGGGGGGGGTGGACAAATAGAGATCCCAAGATCAGCCAGCAGGCAGTCACTGTAGTTCAAGGAAATTGATACAGGTTTCAGGTAAACAACTAGCCTAGGAGTCAGGTTAGCCCTTTCCTGTACTTTTCTTTTCTTTTTTTTTTCATAAAAATAATCCCCCAGCATTTATTGTCCTCTGGTAATAATATAGAGGTAATCAAAACAATACAAACAAGGGTTTTAGAACTATATTCCCAAACAAAGGACATCTAACAAAACAAACTACATGGCCTTCTCAAGAACTTCTCACTTCTAGTTGGAGACACTTTGGAGCAGGGTAATATTATCTCCTTTTAGCATGATTCAACCCAGTTGTTTTTTTGACTTTGTTTTAGAATGAACCTCTTCGGTATCATCTAATACAAGGTTCATGTACTCATCAAAACCAATGACACAGCCCTCTATCCGCATGTTTACTTGCTCATAAAGCCACACCTGAATCTGAGATCTATTTTGCAAGTATCTGAAGATGAGGTTGATGGGCGAACCATCACCTTCTGCACTTTTTGGCCCTGACCACAGTACGCCATGGTGGAAGCTGACATGGACCACACTTCCTGTACTTTTCTGGGGCCCCAGGTTATGTAAAGCTCAGCCACATCATCATACCCCTTCTTTTATTTTATAAATGTCAATGGCATCGTATGCTGGGCTCCCCGATTGGCTGGCCAGCAGTCAAATGGGTTTTCACAACTAGAATAGTAGCTCCCTGAGATTCTGCGTGACTATTGCTTGAAATGTCAAGGTATTGAACTGGAGATCTGGTATTAGGCTTGCATGTCTCTGAACTGACAACATTTCTCAAGCTCCAACCCTCTATATTAACTGTCACAAAGAGTTTCATGTTATTAAACTTCTTCATTATCCCATACTTGTCTCTCTTATCTAGACCAAATTCCACTTTGAGTTCTGAAACCAGACACTGTTCAAACATGCTATCCTTTATAATTGACTGCAGTACTTTACATAGTTTGAGCTTATTCATACTGACACTATGAGAGGACCTTCAATTGGGATAACTTGTAAAGGGAGAGGTGACAACCATTACATAAACTGGCTGCTAATGCCCAAGGAGAGGTGTGTGTGTGTGTGTGTGTGTGTGTGTGTGTGTTAGGAAGTGTTTATCCTCAAAAGAGGGAACCTGTGGGCCATGAAGTAGGCTAGGAAGGAATGATTATTTCATTGGTCCCTGGGGCCCATAGGAGACCTAGCCCTAATGTTCTTAATAATCCCTTACATCTTTGGAAAGCCTCCACAAGAACTGTTTTGCCTGAGTTGTCCAATCCAATGATGATGGTGGTCACATTCCTGGAAATAGAAAAGAAAAATGAGCTGAAGCCTTAAAAAGCACTGCTAGTTCTGAGGATAAAGAATTCTACTCTTTGTTCATGTTGAGGCTCTGCATGCAGTAGTCCCAATGCATATACCATAAAAAGCATAGCCAAGGTGGTAGAAAGCGGTATGGGAACCCCCTCCTAAAGCCTGCAAGAATGCATTTTTTCCCCTCATTTGCTTGCCTTGGAGAATTGGCCCTCCTCTCCCAACCTCGCCTCCAATCTTGGCAGATATTGCTTAATCACTTTCCCTCACAATGTAGATCATGAAGATTCCCCCTTTCAAGGACTTTGGGTGGAGGCATCAGAGGAAATGGTGGAATAGATCTAGGGAAATAACTGCAATATTACCTTCATGTCTCTTCAGTTGTCTTTAGCCGAGACCAGCTGGAAGTCAGCAGCTGGAACATTTTTCAGCTTGGTTCTTTAATATTAGGGGAAACAGATACATGAAAACTCAGCCCCATTGTTAGCACTGAACCTAAGTCACCTTAGGACTACACAGGTGGTGATAAACAAGGTCTGAAGTCAGAAGTCCATAACTTCATTGTATCCGATCTTGTCTATAAATGTTACAGATGGAAAGACTGGTTATTCTTAACTCCACTGGAAGATACCTGCAAAGTAGGGGGATTTCTTATTAAAGCAACCCACCATGGGCATAACATCAGGTGTGGCCTGTCCCTTCAGCCATAGTTCATCCCATCATAGGAATATCTTCATTCACTCCTGGGTGGGAGTGGGGTGTGCAGCAATGCCTTGGAGAAGAACCAGATTAGATTTCAAGAAGAACCTATTGGGGGACCTATTGTAAGTAACAGCTGTCCATTAGGCTTGGTTCTCATTGCTTCTGCTTCAAAAATGTGAGAATTGGTGACCCAATGGCTTAGATTTTCATACAATTTCTAGAGCTGTAAGGGACCTTAGAGATCACCTAGTCTAATAAAGTTCAAACATCAATCCAGGTGCCCCACTCTCAAAGACTGTAGGGAGCTGCATAAGCTCCCTGGGTGATTTCAAAGTGTGGCTGTGTTTGGAAGTGATCACCTAAGTAAAAAGGGCAATTTAGACAATCACTTCAAGGTTTATCCATGTTGGAGCATATATTTGTATTTTGTTCCTTTTTCTGGTTGGATAATATTCCATTGTGTGGATATACCAACATTTGTTTATCCATTCATCAGTTGATGGACATTTCGATTGTTTCTACTTTTTGGTTCATATGAATAATGCTGTTATAAACATTTGCATCCAAGTTTCTAGACATGTGTTTTCAGTTTTCTTGGATATATACCTAGGAGTGTAATTGCTGGGTCGCATGATAACTATGTTTAACCTTTTGAGGAAGTGCCAGATTGTTTTCCATAGTGGCTACAACATTTTACACTCATACCAGCAGTACAGGAGGGTTCTTCCAATTTCTCCGCATCCTCACCAACACTTGTTGTCTTTTTGTTTATAGCTGTCCTAGTGGTTGGGAAGTGGTATCTAATTGTGGTTTTAATTTACATTTTCCTAATGACTAATTCTATTGGAGCCTGGAGCTGGGGGAAGTTCTGATTGGGTTAGCAAAGTACTGCAGCTGATACTTCAGATGGACTTTGCCTAGCTACCTAATGAACACAGTGCGTGTCCAGCTTATCAAATAGAGACAGTTCATAGCATTACTTAGAGTTCAGTTTATTCCCTAGGAAAATCATTTGGCTCTCCATGAGGACCTCCTGGAGAATGGCTATGACTTTTGCTCAATGAAAGGGAAAACTTACATATGGACAGTGATCAAATCCAGCCTTATTCCTGCTTTGCTCCTGAGGCTGATAAGACCTGGAGCCTGAAACACCAGAGCCCAATTGTCTGGGTTTTATGATAGCCATCTCCCTTTGAGATGAGGCCAGTAACAGCTTCATGTCCATTTCCTGATAATTGGCAGAGCTTCCTAGCTTGATATCAGTCTCTCTGTATTTGTTAGTGCCACCAAGAAGAGTCAAACTGACATCACACAAGTTTTTCCTCAAGAACTCACTCTAAAGATGGATAAATAGGTTAACTGAGGAGGAAAACAATTGGACTAGGGGTTACTGGTCCCTTCTTTCATATCCAGTGTCTCTCATAGGTATCCTGGGATGAAATCATCTAAACTAGACCTTCAGATCTCTTTTCTATAAAATGAAGATAATGATATATTTTGCTTACCTTGAGGTGGTTATTATTTATCTAATTGGAAGTTGGTTCTTTTTGGATGAAAGACATAAGATGTGTAGAGTAATAGGAAGGTGTATTGAGCTTTCTAGCCTTCTTGCCAGATTAGTACAGATCAGTTGCCTACTTGTGAAGGGTATGGTAGTGGCCTAACAATGGCTTCAAGGTTCTGCCATATTTATGGCAATTACTGCCTGGTTCATAGCAACCAAACCCACATCTTCCTACCTTGTATGATTACAACTAATTATTAAATTTTAGTCATCATAGTTTTTTTAGTTTACAAAGTATTTATATATGTTATACAAAGTATTAATTGTTTTATACAAAGTATATATTTATTTATATAGAACTTAGTATGTACCAGCACTCATTTAAGCACATTATACATATTAACTAATTTAATCCCTGTTACAACATTGACAGAAATCAAGGGCTGTCATTCCTACTTTTTGGAGAGGAGGTTCACAAAGAGGTTAAGTAATTTTCCCAGGGTTACCCAGCTAGGAAATGATGAAGCCAGAATTCAAACTCAAGTGTTCTAGCTTCAGAGCCTGTACAGAAGGTTAAGATTCTCACAGGTGGTTTGAATGGGGATCTCAGGTACCAAAGAAACTGCCTCTGCTCTGGGTCTCTCTCTCTCTTCTGGCCAAACTGTATTTTTCTTAATCTTTTTTTAGTGAACTTTTTAAAAATAAACTTCATTTTTTAAGGATGGTTTTAGTTAAGCAGAAAAATCACAAAGATACTACAGAGATTTCCCAAATACCCTACACCCAGTTTCCCCTAGTCTGAGCATCTTGTGCTAGTATGGTGTACTTTTTTTTACAATTAGTGAACCAATATTCTTTAATGTCCTTTTTCTATTTCAAGACCCCATCTAGAATACCACAGTACATTTAGTTGTTAAGTCTTAGGCTCCTCTTGGCTGTGATAGTTGTTCAGATTTTGTTTTCGATGACCAAAACAGGAGTATTGGTCAGGTTTTTTGTTGAATGCTCTTCACTTGGTGTTCGTCTGATATTTTTCTCATGAGTAAACTAGAGTTATGAATTCTTGGGAGGAAAACCACACAGGCAAAGGCCTTTCTCATCACATCATATCATGAGCCCATGCTATCAACATGATAATTGTTGATGATGTTGACTTTGATCACCTAGCTGAGGTGGTGTTTGTCCAGTCTCTACAATGTGAAGTAACTCTATTCTCCCCTTTCCATACTTGATTCTTTGGAAGAAAGTCACTATGTGCAGCCCACACTTAGGGAATGGGGAGCTATACTCTACTTCCTTGAAAGTGGAGTATCAGCATAAATTATTTGGGATTCTTCTGTATGGGAAGTTTGTCTATTTTCACCTATTTGTTTATTAAATCATTTATTAATGCAGTATGGACTCATGGGTATTTATTTTATACTTTGAATTATATTCCAATACTACCTTTTTTTTGCTCAAATTGTTCCAACTTTGGCACTGGGAATTCTTTCAATACACTCCCATATCCTTCTGACATACCTCCATCATTGTGTTTTTGTTTGTTTATTTGTTTCTTTCTTTTTGAGCACTTCTTTACTTTCTGGCACTATAAGATGCTTTCAGGCTCCTCTGTATTCCTTGCCCTACACATAGAATCAGCCATTTCTTCAAGGAGTCCTGGATCCTTTCATTAGGGAATGGTCTTAGAAATCCAGATCTGGGTAGTAGATGTGCTCATTGCTACTGAAGTGTCATTGCTTCTAGGCCCTCTCAGGTGACAGAGCAAGGAAATGTATACTAACTTGTGTATATACCTATAAATATTTAAGTGATAGTGTTTATGTAAATTGAACTAAATGTGAGATCATACTGATGTTTTCAACTCTAACCCATCACCATGTAGATCACTCCAGCCTTCTCCCTCCCCAGCTTCTATCATACATGATCTATATACTTGATTGTTCATTCCAGTATACATATATAGCAGTATTAGAATCATTAACTCCTATCCATGGGGAACAACTTGATCAGCTAGACTATAGTGCTGTGTGCACTTCCTTTTGCTTTTGCTGTTACAGATTCCACTTATTCCACCAACTAACAAAGTTACTTGGGTCAGTACTTATCCTACATGTATCAACTTGACTGGGCCATGCAGTGCCCAGACATTTGGCCAAACATTATTCTGGGTGTATCGGAGACAGTATTTTTGGATGAGATTAACATTTAAATGAGTAAAGCAAATTGTGTTCCTTAATATGTAGACCTCACCCAATCAGTTGAAGGCCTAAATAGAACAAAAAGTAACCACTATCATGACTTTTTTAGGAGTCACTTCCTTGTGTTTCTTTATGGTTTCTGTCACCTAAGTGTGTATCCCTAAACACAATAGTTTATTTTTTTGAGATTTTTTTTTTAGTGGTTTCCAGGAACACCCTAAATTTATGACAGTCAAGTTTAATAAAGATTTATTTATTTATTTTTAGAGAAAGATATAGAGAGGGCGTGAGCGGGGGCGGGGGCAGAGGAAGAAGGAGAGAATCCACAAGCAGACTCCTTGCGGAGCCTGGAACCCAATTTAGGCCCATCCCAGGACCCTGAGATTATGACCTGAGCTGAAACCAAGACACTTAACTGACTGAGCCATCCAGGCACCCCTGACAATCTAGTTTAAATTGATGACTAGGATGCCTGGGTGATTTAGTGGTTGAGCGTCTGCCTTCGGCTCAGGGCATGATCCCAGGTCCAGAGATTGAGTCTCACATCGGGTTCCCTGTGAGGAACCTGCTTCTCCCTCTATGTCTCTGCCTCTCTCTCTGTGTCTCTCATGAATAAATAAAGTTTAAAAAACTTGTTAAATTGATAACCAACTTAGCTTCAATAGCATCCAATTATTTTGCTCCTTTGCAACTCCACCCAGCTTTGTTGTTACAACTTAAATTTTATATATTATGTGCCCAATAATACAAACTTAAAATTATTATTATTTTTAAGATTTTATTTATTTATTGTATTGTGCTCCCAGCATAAGCAGGGGGAGCAGCAGGCAGAAGGAGAGGGAGAAGCAGACTCCCCATTGAGCAAGGAGATTGATGCGGGACTTGATATCATGACCTGAGCCGAAGACAGACACTTAACTGATGGAGCCACTCAGGTCCCCCTAATTTAAAATTATATTTATGCATTTATCTTTTTTTTAAAGATTGTGTTTATTTATTCATGAGAGACATAGAGAG